CCCCGCCGGGCTCGTGCCGGTCCCGTCGCGGTCCCGTCCCCGCCGGGCTCGCGGCGGTCCCGTCCTCGCTGGTTTCGCGGCGGTCCCGTCGCGGTCCCGTCCCCGCCAGTCTCGTGACGGACCCGTCGCGGTCCCGTCCCCGCCAGTCTCGTGGCGGACCCGTCGCGGTCCCGTCCTCGCTGATCTCGCGGCGGTCCCGTCGCGGTCCCGTCCCCGCCGGGCTCGTCGCGGTCCCGTGGCGGTCCCGTCCCCGAACCCGCCGGTCTCGTGGCGGTCCCGTCGCGGTCCCGTCCCTGCAGGTCCCGTCGCAGTCCCGTCGCGGTCCCGTCCTCGCTGATCTCGCGGCGGTCCCGTCGCGGTCCCGTCCCCGCCGGGCTCGTCGCGGTCCCGTGGCGGTCCCGTCCCCGAACCCGCCGGTCTCGTGGCGGTCCCGTCGCGGTCCCGTCCCTGCAGGTCCCGTCGCAGTCCCGTCGCGGTCCCGTCCTCGCTGATCTCGCGGCGGTCCCGTCGCGGTCCCGTCCCCGCCGGGCTCGTCGCGGTCCCGTGGCGGTCCCGTCCCCGAACCCGCCGGTCTCGTGGCGGTCCCGTCGCGGTCCCGTCCCTGCAGGTCCCGTCGCAGTCCCGTCGCGGTCCCGTCCTCGCTGATCTCGCGGCGGTCCCGTCGCGGTCCCGTCCCCGCCGGGCTCGTCGCGGTCCCGTGGCGGTCCCGTCCCCGAACCCGCCGGTCTCGTGGCGGTCCCGTCGCGGTCCCGTCCCTGCAGGTCCCGTCGCAGTCCCGTCGCGGTCCCGTCCTCGCTGATCTCGCGGCGGTCCCGTCGCGGTCCCGTCCCCGCCGGGCTCGTCGCGGTCCCGTGGCGGTCCCGTCCCCGAACCCGCCGGTCTCGTGGCGGTCCCGTCGCGGTCCCGTCCCTGCAGGTCCCGTCGCAGTCCCGTCGCGGTCCCGTCCTCGCTGATCTCGCGGCGGTCCCGTCGCGGTCCCGTCCCCGCCGGGCTCGTCGCGGTCCCGTGGCGGTCCCGTCCCCGAACCCGCCGGTCTCGTGGCGGTCCCGTCGCGGTCCCGTCCCTGCAGGTCCCGTCGCAGTCCCGTCGCGGTCCCGTCCTCGCTGATCTCGCGGCGGTCCCGTCGCGGTCCCGTCCCCGCCGGGCTCGTCGCGGTCCCGTGGCGGTCCCGTCCCCGAACCCGCCGGTCTCGTGGCGGTCCCGTCGCGGTCCCGTCCCTGCAGGTCCCGTCGCAGTCCCGTCGCGGTCCCGTCCTCGCTGATCTCGCGGCGGTCCCGTCGCGGTCCCGTCCCCGCCGGGCTCGTCGCGGTCCCGTGGCGGTCCCGTCCCCGAACCCGCCGGTCTCGTGGCGGTCCCGTCGCGGTCCCGTCCCTGCAGGTCCCGTCGCAGTCCCGTCGCGGTCCCGTCCTCGCTGATCTCGCGGCGGTCCCGTCGCGGTCCCGTCCCCGCCGGGCTCGTCGCGGTCCCGTGGCGGTCCCGTCCCCGAACCCGCCGGTCTCGTGGCGGTCCCGTCGCGGTCCCGTCCCTGCAGGTCCCGTCGCAGTCCCGTCGCGGTCCCGTCCTCGCTGATCTCGCGGCGGTCCCGTCGCGGTCCCGTCCCCGCCGGGCTCGTCGCGGTCCCGTGGCGGTCCCGTCCCCGAACCCGCCGGTCTCGTGGCGGTCCCGTCGCGGTCCCGTCCCTGCAGGTCCCGTCGCAGTCCCGTCGCGGTCCCGTCCTCGCTGATCTCGCGGCGGTCCCGTCGCGGTCCCGTCCCCGCCGGGCTCGTCGCGGTCCCGTGGCGGTCCCGTCCCCGAACCCGCCGGTCTCGTGGCGGTCCCGTCGCGGTCCCGTCCCTGCAGGTCCCGTCGCAGTCCCGTCGCGGTCCCGTCCTCGCTGATCTCGCGGCGGTCCCGTCGCGGTCCCGTCCCCGCCGGGCTCGTCGCGGTCCCGTGGCGGTCCCGTCCCCGAACCCGCCGGTCTCGTGGCGGTCCCGTCGCGGTCCCGTCCCTGCAGGTCCCGTCGCAGTCCCGTCGCGGTCCCGTCCTCGCTGATCTCGCGGCGGTCCCGTCGCGGTCCCGTCCCCGCCGGGCTCGTCGCGGTCCCGTGGCGGTCCCGTCCCCGAACCCGCCGGTCTCGTGGCGGTCCCGTCGCGGTCCCGTCCCTGCAGGTCCCGTCGCAGTCCCGTCGCGGTCCCGTCCTCGCTGATCTCGCGGCGGTCCCGTCGCGGTCCCGTCCCCGCCGGGCTCGTCGCGGTCCCGTGGCGGTCCCGTCCCCGAACCCGCCGGTCTCGTGGCGGTCCCGTCGCGGTCCCGTCCCTGCAGGTCCCGTCGCAGTCCCGTCGCGGTCCCGTCCTCGCTGATCTCGCGGCGGTCCCGTCGCGGTCCCGTCCCCGCCGGGCTCGTCGCGGTCCCGTGGCGGTCCCGTCCCCGAACCCGCCGGTCTCGTGGCGGTCCCGTCGCGGTCCCGTCCCTGCAGGTCCCGTCGCAGTCCCGTCGCGGTCCCGTCCTCGCTGATCTCGCGGCGGTCCCGTCGCGGTCCCGTCCCCGCCGGGCTCGTCGCGGTCCCGTGGCGGTCCCGTCCCCGAACCCGCCGGTCTCGTGGCGGTCCCGTCGCGGTCCCGTCCCTGCAGGTCCCGTCGCAGTCCCGTCGCGGTCCCGTCCTCGCTGATCTCGCGGCGGTCCCGTCGCGGTCCCGTCCCCGCCGGGCTCGTCGCGGTCCCGTGGCGGTCCCGTCCCCGAACCCGCCGGTCTCGTGGCGGTCCCGTCGCG